ATTATTTGGGGCATACTTTGAGGAAAATTAATTTGATAATGTAATAGATAACTGTTATAAAACTGGACAAAGGAAGAGCAAAAAGTAGACAGAGATATATGTGGTAAACATTTAGAAAGTACCAAAATTTAATCTGAGATATAGTTTTCAAACCTTCTTAGTTTTCTTTTTCATCTTCTTCTCTTCCACAATTTACCTCAGCATTGTACAAGTTGGTGTTCACTTCTGTTAGGTTGCTCCTGATGATGTCGTTCCATCTCTTCCAAGTTTTAGCTGCGGTATATAGTCGTCTAGGGAGCTATCTTCCCAATAACGGTCCCAAATTATCGAGGCGGAAAATATAACCTAACAGAGCCTAGTCACGTGTCAGTTGCGCACTTCCGGGACTATACTGCCACCGCCGAAAGTACGCCGAACGCCGTTCACGCGGCGTGGATTGGTGCTATATTTGATGGCTGGAATTCACGAGCAAATAAAATGAAGGAAGCTGCAGGATATGCGTTAGCTGCTGCTCGAGAGTACCAGCCATCTAGTTTAGCCTCAATCCACGCCGCGTGAGCGGCGCTGGGGAACTCTCAGCGGTGGCGAAAGTCGCCGGTAGTGTGCAATTTAAGTCGCCGGAAGTGTGCAATTGACATGTGACTGAGGCTCTGTTGGGTATATTTTTCGCCTAGATAATATTGGACCGTTATTTGGAAGATAGCCGTCTAGGGGAAACCTTGAGACCAACTTTGATGCACGGTGGTTGATGACCCTGGTCAAAGTGACTGAACCGTATTCCATACAGTGACTGCGCCGGATAGAACGGAATGGGAAAAATGACAACTTACCCTGTGTGGCGTATAAAACTGACACACAAGATGATGATGGTAGTGGTTGTGGGGGTGATTTTACATACACATATACATACAGGTGCATGCAAACACACACACACACACACACACACATATATATATATATATATATATATATATATATATATAGAGAGAGAGAGAGAGAGAGAGAGAAAGGCGTACGAAGTCGGAATGATAGCATCAACTTCTGAGAGGTTTCATAAAGGCCACGACCTTTGTCCGTGACCCCTGAACCCCAGTGTTCACGCTGGAACTTCGACAGCTGATCCTGTGAGCCATTTCTCTCAACCAGCCACGGCTGAAATCAGGAGGCTACAGGCGACACAATTGGACATTTCTCTCAACCAGCCACGGCTACAGGCAGGAGGAGCCTACAGGCGACACGCACTTGAACACATTTCTCTCAAACAACGCACCCTACAGCTGATCGATTTCAACATGCAGCGTTTTATTAGATTCTCTTATAACATTTTACATCATCAGGTGATTCATTTTTTGACATCAGAATTCACATACTATTTGTTTTTTAAATAGTGTATTAATTTAACTCATAAAAGACGCAATCTTCTTCTGCGTTGGCTTTTAACTCTTTCGGCCGCAGAAGGTTTAGGCGTTGGCCTTTAACTCTTTTGGTCACAGGAGGTTTAGTTTCTGAGGACCAAGTGTTGGTTATATAATTTTGAAATGTCACAAGTGTAACGCATTAAAACAGATCATACTAATTCATCTGCCGCGCAAATACACATATTAGTAATATTATTACACATCAAAGTGACCAGGAATTATTAAGGAATGACATTAAATTACTGCTGCAATACATAAATTGTGTCAGTAGTTAAATATTTAATTAGTAAAAGGAAATAATAATTTTTCCACTTACCACCATGGCACTGAAGGAAAACTTGATAAAATATACCCAAAATGAATCGCAAATTAACATGAACCACCAAGTAATTAGTTAGTTAGTTAGTTAGTCTTTCCTCTTGTGTCGAGTGCGGCACATAGGGCAGAGGTCGCGACTCTCCATGCACGGCGGTCCGCTGCAATCCGTTGTAGGTCTTGGATGTTTGAGTGGCCCATGAGCGAGCCTTCCCTGATGATATTTCTACGTAGGGTTTCCCTTGGTCTTCCACGAGATCTTTTCCCCTGTGGTGTCCAAATGAGGGCTTGGTAAGGAAGTCTTGATTTATCCATTCTAAGGGCGTGGCCGACATAGTTCCAGCGGCGTTTTCGTATAAAATTAGACACATACTCTTGCCTGGATTCTTGCCTTATTTGTGTATTGGTTCGGAAATCTGACCATTTGAAATTTAGTATTCTTCTAAGGCATTTATTTTCAAAACTGTCTAATTTTGTGTCTAGAGTTTTCGTTGATTTCCAGCTCTCGCACCTTGGAATTTAACAGATTAGAACGAATCATCGTGCAGTTAGAGTCAGAAATCTGATTCTATAACAATTGGTGGTTTTGCGATGACAGCTTGTCGGACCGTCGATCAACCGATATGCGCCGAGCTAGAGAGAAACAAGTAATGTATAAATAAAATATAAGTGCAATGTGTACGTTAGGTCTCATTCCAGAGAAACTTTTAGAAAATCTCACCATTATTTGGTAAAGAAAAATGACTTCTTAAACGGTTAGTATCTTCATGTATATAAAAAAAAAGATTACGTAACACTCAATTTTGCTAGCACTTTTATGGCTATGTTATTTCTTGGGGGGGGGGGGGGATGAGGAGGACGAATAGCTCTAGAACTGACACTTGAAAACAATTGCTTTTTTCAGTAATATTTATTATCTTTCTACCAGCTGACTTTGTTATTGTGGTACATTTTGCATGAGGTACATATCAGAGCTATCCCTAACCAAAGCTTGACACTATCAATGACTGAAACAAGTAGCCCGGCTCTCTAGCGTAGTTGGCTAAACCGGATTGCGCGGTGACCGGGTGACGAACTCCTTGTGGTCCAGGTTCACTCCCGGGAGGGGGGGGGGGGGGGGGAACAGAAAAGCCACATTTCTCCCAGATTTATGGTATTTACAATGGAATCAAGGCCGAAAGGTTGGGATATCCATAATACCGAGCCTAAGGGTTAACAACTCATGGCTTCTGGATACTCAAACAAACTGAAACAAGTCTACTTCATTATTTACTCCGTCTAATTTCTTATGAATCAAACATGTGTTTTTATTTCTTCTTCTTCGCTTTTACCGGCTGTAAACTCCGACGGAAAACTCTGGGTGTTCATCCATCTCTGGACATTAGTCTTGCTCCAGAACCTGAGTGTGGCTTGAACATCCATTTCACAGATCTGGTTTATTTGTATGCAGACTTGTGGTCCCTTGCCTCTCAGGCAGATGTACTATGACTTTGAAGGATGTCCCCAGTTAGTCGACTCCTATGACAATCTAGTTGGGGAGGCAGTGGGTCTATTCTAGTTTTCCCCACAGTGGGGCCCTGGAATCCACACGAGGATGTTTTTATTTTAATTTGAGGCTTCCAAAGCCGTAAATCCAGCTGGCATGCATGTAGAAGTATGCTCGGCAGCCATATTGTTTTTAAAAAAAAACTCAGTAAACCTCACAAACTTATCATATTTAAAGTTTTCAACCACGTTTCCAAACAAACATAATGGTCATCAAATGTGTTATTGAACACAAAGAACTGGAAAGGAAGTTTAAATTGTTTGGTTGCCAATTTTATACTGGTCAGTGGTAAACTAGAATTTTGTACGTGTCATGCAGATTGGGTGCTGTGTAGTTACCAATGGATGTGTGATGATTTCCTTAGGACTCAGAGAGTTAAAAGAGTGTTTGTATATTGGGCTTTACAGCTACGCTGCAACCTCTGCGCCTAACACATCAGATTTCAGCAGTGTTAGCCATATCACCCGGTTAATGCCGAGGTCTAGATGCCCATTTGATTTTTTTCTAGCATGTTTTGTCCAGGGGTTGCTCTGCCTGTATAACAGCTTCAGTATTGGTTGCGATTTTAAATTGTGTAGAAATTGTAGGTATGATTTTATTTGCCCCTAAAAAATTGTACATATTATTTCAGGTGTTATAAACAAGATTTTTAAACAAATTGGGACATCACCATAGCATCATATAATTTCACAATTGCGTCACATTGCTCTTTATGATAATGTGACCATAACTACTGTTAGAAGGTTAACAGAAAGGAAGTCAGTTAATTCTTTGCTCCATTTATGTTTAGTTATTACTTCCTCTCACGTAGAAATAACACTTTTCCCAGTGTAGACATTTAGTGATTGGTTAGACAGTTTATTATTTGTTTTTCTATATTTGTGATGTCATCTACTAACATTAGAGTTGTAATAAGACCATGTCTGAACTATATTGACAAACAAAGAATGAATGGTTCTGCCATCTAGTGAGAATGCAGCCAGACCAAACTGCATATGAGATTTTGTACAGCAGAACATCTGGCTGGAGGGTGAGAGGAAGGCCATAAAAGATTTGGATAAATTGTGTCGCTGAAACCTTCAAAAAGGTGAACAAATCCACCATCGAAAACACCCAAGAAGTGCAAGACGAATACAGAAAACATCGACACTGGGCTACAAATTGGTATCAGTGAGATGACAAAAGAATAAGATGATGATGTCATCAAAGAAACAGTTGACTTCCTGCCTGCCTGTCTGCTTTATGGTCCAGGGGTTAGACCCTTGCTCCCAGATATTTTTAAAAGCTGCCCTAGAATCCAGATTTTGTCTGCTTCTATTTCTCTTCTAGTTTTTTAGAGTATGTGTATTTATTTTTTAAAATTAAATTTGAAAGACAAGGTCATTGGAAAGATTCTTATGGGATGAAAGGTTTAAGTCTTATTTATTCACCTTTTACGACACGCTTAACTTCCCCCTCCCCTCCCCCTTCCCAGCAGGGCCTGGGAACTCACATGTGACACAGATGATAAAGTTACATGTTAGCAAAACATTACAATCAACTACAGAGTAACTCCAAAATATATTTGTGTTTATAATAAAAACTGATGTTATTCAAACATTATTTTTATTCAAAAAGTTCTCGCAGTCACAAGGAGGAAAAAATTTGTGTGTATTATATATATTCCCCATGAAGTGCTTGAAATATAGTTGTTAATTCTTTTTCCTAATGGTTCTCCACAGCGCCATTATCTGAGACTTTTAGGTGAGCGATCACTGTGGACTGGACAGGAGACACTCCAAAATGATGACCCTGAAGTTTATGAAATTGTCAAGCAGGAAAAGTTCAGACAGTCAAATGGCTTGGAGCTGATTGCTTCAGAGGTCAGTTTTCTTGTTTCTAACATTAACCTATGAACTTGTGTCCTTCAACTCTTTGTCTTCCATTGAAGCATAGGTCCTTAACCAAATCATCCTTTCAGTTCTCGTCATCTGCAGCTCTCTCCATCCAACCCATGATATTAATCTTTCCAGTTCTCCCTTCTGTTCACCTAATTTGTTTTTTTCTTCCAAAAATACCTTAACTGCCAATTTGACCCACCCTAAAATAGGTACCAGATGAAAGCAGTCAGCGAGATGTTTTCTCCATCACCCACCGTGGGGATGATAGGTCCATATAATATAGATCTAGCACTATAGGTCCATATAATATAGATCTAGCACTATAGGTCCATATAATATAGATCTAGCACTATAGGTCCATATAATATAGATCTAGCACTATAGGTCCATATAATATAGATCTAGCACTATACAGTACACCTGAAGGCAAGGAAGAGGGTCCTTTAACTACATGGAAGAATCAAGTACATAGCTTCTAAATCTATTTATAAAAAATTCTGACATTGGGCTTCATAACTGGTTTTTTAAAAACCTGTCACAATGAGAATTGTTAATTTTTTATCTGTTGATAAGATGAAATTTACTACCAGAAATTTGCAATTGCTGCCTCTATTTTAAATATTAAATCAGCATTAAGCTAAACTGTTTAGTTCTTCTTTGTACATGGAATAAAAGAAAATATACCTTTTCTTAAACTAGTGATGAAATCTAGTAGTCTGGTAGTCTTAGTTTCAGCTTCATAGCAAACGGGGCATCCCATCTTTGCTCCGCTCCTGTGCCAACAAAAAAACACACAGAATGTTTATCACAGTCCCTTGTGGAAAGATTTGACAGGCTGCTGTCTCAGCATATCTAGCATACACACGCATTAAAGCATACGGTAGCCATCAGAAGTGCTATCACAAACAGTCCGACATTAGAAATGCAGTTCATCATTGATGGTAGCAAAAGTCACCAACAGATCAGCAGTTGCCCACAGGATTAATTTTAATCACATACGGGCACCACCAACATTGCACGACAGGCATCGCGCCATTTTCTGAATCTACAATTCACACCACCACGTTGGTCACAGTCAAAAAAACATTTTAAATGAAATCCGCAGCTCACAGTGTCATGCCATGCATTCAGATCAGAAGCTTTTCGACGAAACTATATCCAGTCTACAAGTGCAGCAAAAATGCATCGGCCACCGTCTGGTAGAAGAAACAAATTTGCTTCGGCTCCAAACAGTGCCCCTGCCTAGCGTCCATTTTGACCGGAAGTCGATGATATCAGATAGTGAATCAACCCTACCTTTCTGGTGTGGCACAGGAATATTAACAAATTATAGTCCAGGGGAATTGATACAAATGAAGAAAAAAAATGGGGGTGCACTTTTAATTTTCTAGTAAGCAATGATCTTAAGTCTTGTTTAAGTATGCAGTAATAATAATAATCAAAATTACTTTTACCTGCTAAAGGGCAAATAAACAAAATAATATATTTGAAATACTATTAAATATACACACAAATAAATACTTAAAAGGAGAACATCTATACATGGGTAGGGGGAAAGGAGTTGCCGCTACCATCCTTGCAGATTTTGTAAGAAAGGGAAGGGAGGCATAGTCCTTCCTAAAAATGTTAGTGGAGGGGGTGTTGATTTATCACCCTTCATCAACCCTTACCCGCGCATGACTGCAGGGTACTCCAAGTGATGTTTACTGTAGCCTTTACGGTTGTCCCAAATATAACCTTTTTTGGAGTTTGATTTGCCCTGCCATCCCTGATAAGATTCCTGGAGTTGGGGGGGGGGGGGGGAACAAACCTTCAGTAGCAGTGAGAAGGTGGGAAAAACAAAGAGTTAAGAACTGGCATCACAGCACTTGGGGACGTTCCCATAATTGCTGTGTCAGGGTCTGGAGTGGCTATGGGATGTCAGGGTCTGATGATAATGAATACACAGAATAGCACTTAGTTGAACGTGTCCTGCCGATATTCAGTAGCCCACAGGGGGCTGTGACTGAGACTGGCAGGGATGAAATTAATTACTCAACTCCAGAGTCCACAGAATCCTCACTGACTGGGAGTGAGCAGGGACACTGAAAAAAAGTGTCAAAGAGACGGATTCAAGGAGGAGATTCGTGAGTGAGACTGGACCAGACGGCATGTTGTTATGACCATTAAATGTATTCAGTGTTTGACTTATGTTAGCGACAGGTCAACATATGTGTTATTGAACACAAAGAACTGGAAAGGAAGTTTACATTGTTTGGTTTCCATTTTTATACTGGTCAGTGGTAAATTAGAATTCTGTACGCGTCATGCACAGATTGGGTGCTGTGTAATTACCAATGGATGTGTGATGATTCCCTTAGGACTCAGAGAGTTAAAAGGGTATTTGTATATTGGGCTTTACAGCTATGCTGCGATCTCTGCGCAATAATCTGTTAGCCTGACAATAGGGTAATTCATGTATTAGTCGAGGTTAGTTACAGTGTTTATTCACACTGATAGTAATTTTTTTTTTTTTTTTGCTATGTGTTAAGAGATGGTTCGCAATGGGTTTGTCTAGTTGTGTGACATGGTCTGTCCACTCGCACTAGCTGAGCCGTGCAATAGCACAGCAGTCATAGTGTTAGGTACAGAAATTTCGGAAAAGAGCTTGTAAGGGTGATTGTTTGGTTCAGACCCTGGTCACAGCCATAAGGCTGGTACTGGACTCTTAACGTGAACTATTTTCTCTCAGGTGAACTGCTGCGTTGCTTATTGTAAATTGTGTTCACGACTGATGTGTAAGCTCTGATGGTGTTGGTTTAGTTGTGTTTTAGGATAGACATTTCTATTACGAGCCTGCTCATGAGCCAGTTGCTGCTACAGCAGTAAGCAGGTTCTTGACAGCTGCGTCCCCATCTTCAGCAGCTAGCACAGAGTTCCAGTTCTGCGGGTACCAGTAGCAAAATTATTCTGTGTCCCATCTTACCTTTCCCCTGACAGTCAAGTGTCGGCCAAATTCCCTGGCACTCCCAGCTGCACCATCTGTTTGTGCCTCCGCACTGTTTGCTCACACCAAGAGGCCCTGATAACAGCCAGGCTATGTTGAATAAAGAATCAACATCATAGCACTCGGGACACTCCCAAAGGCGCTCCATCCCCATCTTCAGCAGCAAATGAAGAGTTCCAGTTTGGGTGACACCAGTAACTGTCTGACTGTATATCCATCTTGCAGTTCCCTTGAGTTTTGAGCGTAGGCCAGATCCCCTGGTAACAGCCAGCCTGTCATGCATCAATACACCACCAAGTAGTAGTTCTTCTTCTTCTGAACTTTCACCGGCTGTAAACTGCCAACTGCCAATTACTGACTTGATTATACCCCTTTTGAGGGGTGTCTTTGAGCCTGAGGATTTATGGCCACATGGCTAGTGGGCTGTAAACTCCGGCAGAAATTTCTGGTTGTTCATCCAGTTCTGGACACTAGTCCTGTTCCAGAAACTGAGCGTTGCGTGCACATCCATTTTACAGGTCTGACTCATTTTTGTGCAGACTGGTTCCTTGCCTCTCAGGCAGATGCACTGCGACTTTGAAGGAAGCTTCTAATTAGTAGACTCTTAATACATGCTTTTGGGCAGACATTGAGTCTGTTCTTGTTTTTTCCATAATGGGGCCCGGGAACCACCAGGTAGAAAATGAGACAAGACAGACTTGTCACTCACATATGCTCAAACTTACCTCTGAGGTGAAAGCAACAAGTTCCCTGTTTGTTGGGAGATTATAACTTTTTTTTTTTAACAGAAAGAATTGTGTCTTAATTTATTCTTCCATTAACCTACTTTCCTGTATTGTTTTTTAAATCAGAACTTTACCAGCAGAGCTGTCATGGAGGCCGTGGGTTCGTGTCTAACCAACAAGTATTCAGAGGGCTACCCCGGTGCTAGGTAAATTCCAAAATTATTTTAAATATGCCAATCTTAATCACTATTTAAACAGTGCAGGCAGTGATTACCGTGCTTTATTAAAATCCTATCCCCCCCTCCCCCAGATGATGTCACAGGACAGTCCAACAGTTTAGAGGGTGGTAAGATTGGGCTTCCCGTCTTTCTGATGCTTTTAACAACCCCAAAACATCTAGAACTGACCCTAACCCCAACCCACCTACGTAGAGAGAGTGTAGCCTAGGTCCCACGACTGCATGCAGCCTAGGTCCCACGATTGCATGCAGCCTACCTACCACCCACTGAAATATTAGACTGTCCCATGATCTGTGGATTTCCCCTGTTTGGGGTAAGATATTAATAAAGCACCTGATTACCAATTATAAATTATGTTATAAAACAGATATAAAGTTAAAACACACACACAATTCCCGTGTGAGTTCTGTGGCCCCATTTTTGGGAAAGACAAGAATAGACCCTCTACCCCCCAACAAGCATGTCATAAAAGGCAGTTAGTTAGGGATGTTTCCTTCAGAATCTGAGTACATCTGTCTGAGAGGCAAGGAACCAACAGCCTGCATGTAAATAAGCCAGATCTGTAAAATGGATGTGGACACAAAACTCACGTTCTGGAACAAGACCAAAATCCAGAAGTGTACGAACAACCAGAACTTTCCACTGAAGTTTGCAGCCGGTAAAAGCCAAGAAGAAGATGATTATTATTTAATCAGCATGATGCTGTCCCCTGTCAGAAAATGACGTTAAATGTTTCATGTGATTTGTATTACCAAGGTACTATGGAGGAAATGAAATTATTGACAAAATGGAGCGCCTGTGTCAAAAACGTGCTTTAGAAGCCTTCAAATTGGATCCAGAGAAATGGGGAGTGAATGTACAACCTTACTCTGGTAGCCCTGCAAACTTTGCTGCCTACACAGCACTTTTGAATCCTCATGATAGAGTAATGGGACTTGACTTACCAGATGGAGGACAGTAAGTGACTTATTTGCTTTTAGTGTTTTAGCTGTAGAAGATGTCTTTTTTATTTATTTCTTTTTTTACTACTGCATTCTTCTTTCTTCTTCTTCTTCTTGTTCACCGGCTGTGAATTCCGGCGGTAAGTCACGGTTGTTCGTCCAAGATGGAATTTTGGCTTTTACCTTGACCTGAGTTTTGCGTGTACATCCGTTTTACTGGCTTATTTGTTTGCAGTACTCGTTCCCCGCCTCTCCGGCAGATGTACTCCGACTTCGGAGGAAGACGTCAAGCCTATTTCTAGGTTGACTGTGGCCATTGTTTTGTGTGGGTCGAGATGTTGCCTTATTTGTGTGGTGTCCTCTTTGACTTTTAACAAGTGTGGCCCCCGGCATGTCGTCCTTAAGGCAGCTCTATGTAGAGTTTTTCAGCCCTCAAGGGAAGGCAGGGGCAGATCATGGGCATTCCCCGCCATCCAAGGAGGCTTCCATAAATGCAGAGCCGACACATGATGCTCTGGTTCTGGGCTCACCCAAGGAATCGTCACGTCCTGCCCATGACTGCTTAACCTCACAACCGTGTATTGAGCTTCCCGCGCTACAAGGCTGCGCTCACCGGAGAACAGCGGGGGGCAGCCCGCAGGTCTAGGACGTTTGTGGCCACACAAATAGGTACATTCTTTTTCATCTTACGTTAGACACCTTTAACGTTGTTTCAGCTGTGACCTTAGCACGACATAATGGGGAAGCAAAATGCGTCAGGCGTGGCTTCACCTGTTTGGTCACAACACTCGGGCGAGTTGGACCAGTGGATACGGACATTCAGACTTTTCCTAATCGGTACGAGTTATGATCGTCGGACTTTGAGCTTGCATGTGTGCCATGGGGTGTAACTTTGTCGGACATTGTTTTCAAGCCAGCATATGAATAGTTGCTGCCATGGTGTACCTCAGCGCGGTGACGACGACACTGAGGATTGACAGAGGATGTACGTAGGTGGGATCTTGCTGCAAGAAGTCGCCCACAAGAGATGTTACTCGTCTTGGCTGCGGGTAAATCTCTCGGTCAGGGTTCAGTCTCAGCAGCACAGTTTTCCATTCGCTCCCAAATTTTAACCAAGAGTTGTCATTTGATGGTACATTTAGCAAGCAGTCCTTGAGTTTTGTTACTTTTCACCCATGCGTTTGGGGGCGGGCTGGTGAGAGCCAGAAAGGACTCTACACCTCTAGGGGCCGCCAGCTCCGAGATCCCCTGCCAACTCTGTTAATGCTCATTTGAGACATTATCCGTGGCGCACGACGGGGATGTGCAACAGGACGGGGACGTGCAACAGGAGTCTTGCATGAGGTTCCGTAAAACCAGAACAGTGAAGGACTGGCGCCCGAGTGGGGTACGGAATATCTCCTTATACACATCACATCAGACTTAACTTCCCCTCATGCCTGTGACCGAAATCACCGCGCCACTACTACTGCATTCATTGAAAAGTGTAAAGGGTTATAACTGTTTTAAAGGTATAAAGCAACAGAATGTAAAAGAAATAGTCTTCTTCCTAGTGTGAGGTCATTTTCATACTAGTGAATGACACATTGGCTGCTCTCATTCCTCTGGACAAGAAGCTACTTTATGATGAGGTAAATGTGTCTCTGAATCAGGTGAATTAAATGACATTTATTGCATCCCTGTCAGAGATCTGGTGGCCCGTTTCATGGAAAACAGAACAGATCCACACCCCCAGACAAGCATTTAGTAAAAGGCAGCTAAATAGGGGTTTACTGGCATCAGATGTGTTGGTCTAAAGGAACAGATATTGCAGGCTAGCTGTAAACCACAATATGGTGTGTCCATTGCTATTTTGAGGGTTAAGGAAAAAGAAAATATAGCACTAAAGTGAGAAAGTTCGGTGTAATTTTATCAGGTTGTCACTTCAGTATCAGCATGGGAACGCTTCATTGGCTACTGAAGAATTGTACAGAATACATGTAGCAATGTACGTAGGGCAATGATTTGTCAATTTTTAATTAATTCATATCAGTTTATCCTTTTTTTGCCCTTATTTTTATGACGCTGCTTTTTCCCTTCACATTAAAACATTAACATTTTCACCCTGGCTATTGGGGGGGGGGGGGGGTGTGCCAGTGACCTGTAGTTAGGGAATTCCTGAAAAAGAAAACATTTTTTTTAAAACACACCCATTTTACACAGTTCACAAGAAAAATCATAACAATTCCATTTGTGGACCCAAAAAAATTGTAATTTCCATGCAGAATAAGAAGAGTTACCAGTAAACATGAAGCAGATAATTGACTGATTTATCTTCATTTTTACCATTAAAAAAAAATATATATATTTATATATATGGCCTACTAGCCCCATCACCTTGTAACCACTTATGTCAGTGGGAAATTATGATGCCATAATTTCTAAAAAAAAAATCCATCTGTTCACAAGGACCATCCCCGACCATGCCCAGAGTCAATTTTGGTTCCCCCTAACAGGTGAATATGATACTTGTGTTGTTAACTATGCTTCTAAAAAATAAGCCACTAGAGCCAAGCTGGAAAAATTTTATTTATGGGGAGCTGGATGCAACCAGAAGTGTTGGTTGTGTGGCTTCTTGGGTAAAAAAGTTAACATTTAGAGTAACATGCCTCATACACAATCTGTTGAATTTCTTCTCAATTTCTTTTCAGTTTAACACATGGATTTATGACTGACACCAAGAGAGTGTCAGCCACTTCTATATTCTTTGAATCTATGCCATACAGACTAGATGTAAGTGTTTTGTTGTTAACGAAACTGAATGTATACAGTGTTAAATGTGTACCCAATCTGTAAATTAAATGAAAACTTCTTTTTATTTCACATTTATCAAATTTCCTTATTGTGAGCCGAACTTAACTCATAGCAATATTTTTGTCAGCTGTTTATATAAAATAATTTATCCTTGAGAGAGTCTTCAGCTAATTTATGTGCTTTCATCTCGCTGTCTGTTAGAGAGCTCTCAGAAAAGTATGTGACCCTATCCAGTAAGTTGGGTAGTCTAGAAAAAATACAGCTCTATATCTCAGTCTAAATCTGTGGTTCCTGTTTCTGTTTCTTCTTCTTCTGTGGTTGCCCTTAAATGGGCAGTTGGTATGCCGTGTTGTGCTTTACAGCTACGTTGCCATATCTGTGCTTTTTGGTCCAAATCTCAGCAAATTCATTTTTCCCTCAAAATGGGGTCCCAGAGCCCACACAGGGACAAAACAAATGTTTGATTTCACGTTTTCTGAATTTTTGTAATGTTGGGTATAGGTTCTAAATGTTGCAAGTTTTGGTATTATATAAAATGACAGAGTTAAATATTACAAGTTTTGTTTAGTTTTATATTATAGTGAAATCCTGGAAGTTTAATACTGTTTGATATTAGAGATAAATATCACAAGTTTGTTGCTGATTGTCATTAGAGTTACAGGGTATCCTCTGAAAAACGGTCCTAAATTATTGAGGCGGAAAATATACCCCAACAAAGCCTCAGTCAGGTGTCAATTGCGCACTTCCGGAACTATAACGCCACCGCCAAATTGCGAACTTCCGCCACCACCGAGAGTATATCCCCACGTCACATCAGCGGCGTGAATTGGGGCTAAACTAGATGGCTAGGGCTCACGAGAAAATAAAATGAAGGAAGCTGTACGAAATGCAGTAGCTGCTGCTCGTGAGTCCCAGCCATCTACTTTAGCCCCAATCCACACCGCGTGAGCGGCGTGGGGGATACTTTTGGCGGTGGCAGAAGAAAGCTAGAAGTGACAATCGACACGTGACTGAGGCTCTGTTAGGATATATTTTCCGCCTCGATAATTTAGGACCGTTTTTCAGAGGATAGCAGAGTTACATAGTACAAGTCTGATACAGTTTGATATTTAGCTGCAAAATCTAACCAGCATTTAACAAGGTGCTATTAACTTTTTCAGTCCCAATGAACGTGCCATACGTTCTTAGTTTCCTATCTAGATACATCTCTCTTGACCTCCCCTTGAGCCTCTGATGCTGAACCCTTGGAACTGAAAGAGTTAATTTATAAAGAAGTGGATTATGGGAAGAGTGTTTGTGTGTGTGTGTGGAAAAACAATAACGGTTTTGGTGTGTTTATAATTTGCAGCCAAAGACAGGTTACATTGACTATGACAAACTTCTGGAAACAGCCAGACTTTTCCGGCCAAAGCTTATCATAGCTGGCACAACAGCATACTCTCGTCTGCTGGATTACAAATTTTTCAGACAGGTTGGTCTTTTTTCTTTTATTGTCTTGTGTACACATTAATATCTCATATTTAAAAGAGAACCTGGGTTTTGTAATTATTTTGTGTGTGTCTGTGTACACATTAACATATTATGTTTCAGAGAGAGCCTGTTTTTCTTTATAAATTCCTTTTGTAATACATTAATTTAATTACCATTACATATAATATTTTTTAAAAACATAATATAAAGTGAGATATTCCTTGTTCATGCTGTTGTTATCCTCTTTCCAGGTATGTGACGAGGTTAAGGCCCATATGCTAGCAGACATGGCCCACATCTCTGGCCTTGTGGCCGCTGGTGTTATTCCTACCCCTTTTGAGTATGCTGATGTTGTCACATCTACAACACACAAGACCCTTCGCGGACCAAGGTTTTTGTTTTGTTTTGTATGTTTTCATACTTACAGTTAGACACTTCCCGTCCTTTTTAAGATGACATTTTTCGTTATTTGAAGCCGTACTCTGGCTCTTGCCAGGGGCCGCAATATAGCCTGGCCATAAATATGGCCTAAAGGCTGAACGCGGTTTCTGGGACCTCTCCACGGTGATCCTCACCCACATGGTGGCACACTGTGTCATCGGGTGTTTATCGCTTGTGTGATGTCCTGGTGGGGTAGAAAGTCAGTCGTATGTTTTTATTTGATTAAAAACTTAGCTTAACAGCCATGTTTGAATGGTACCATTAGTTTGTGATTGTTTAGGAAGTAAATCTATTACAGTATTAGAATATATGAAATTGATCTGTATTGCTATTAGCTGAGTCCCCAGTGTATTTCATTTAGAATATTTCTGCTATGTTATTTCTTATAAGAATGCTACCATACATATTTTTAAAACTGCTTGTTTATACGCAGAGGAAAGATTTTTTTTTTTTTTTGCCAATTTTTATATCTTTTTCAGCATTTTGAGCCCTTGAGGTTCATTGGTGCTGATATCACCTGCTTCCATTCATCTTGCTGGTTGGTCTTATCTTTCTAATTGGTGACTGCAAGTGTTTGTATGTCTGTCTTGATATTACCTGTCCCCTGCCTTTTTGGTCTTACACAGTTTTTACCTCTCTTTTGTCTGACATTCTCTCAGTATGCCCCACCCGTTTCAGTCCATTAGCCCTCATAATGCCAATGATCCCTAGTGATTTAAACATGTTTATATACATTCATTAATTTTAATTGATGTTGCAGCATATTAATTTACATTTGCATTTATCACAGATCTGGCATAATATTCTATCGCAAAGGAGTCAAGTCAGTTGACAAGAAAACAGGAAACGAAATTTTGTATGACTATGAAAAAACCATCAACAACGCTGTATTCCCTGCCCTGCAAGGTGGTCCCCATGAGCATCAGGTGGCTGGAGTGGCTGTAGCTTTGCAGCAGGTGAGTTTGTCTGCAATGTTATCTTTTTTCTTCTTGTTCAGCGGCTGTAAACTGTGGCAGAAAGTTTTGGTTGTTTGTCCACTCCTGGACTTTGGCCTTGATCCAGACCTCGAGTTTTGCATACATATCCATTTTTTCAGGTATGGCTTGTTTGTGCGCAGATTGTCAGTGCTTTGCCTCTCAGACAGGTGTACTCCGACTTCGATGGAAACACCCTTGATTAGTCATGCTTCTTAGGAGGCAGTGGATCTATTCTTTGTTCTCCAAAATGGAGCCCCGGAACCCACACGGGGAGGGTACTTCTACTTTATTGTCTCTCGGTAAATTTTCTCTCCTATCTGTATTTATTGTCTTTCACCAGAGTATCTCACCCTTGTCCATGTTCACAGTCCCTCAGTAAATTATCTCACTTATCCATGTTCATTGTCCCTCACTAAAATATTTTACTCTTATCCATGTTCATTGTCCCTCACTAAAGTATTTTATGCTTACCCTTGTTCATTGTCCTTCACTTAAGTATTTTACTCTGATGCATGTTTATTATCCTTCACTAAAGTATTTTACTCTTATCCATGTTCTTTTTAGTCTTATGCATGTTCATTGTCCCTCACTAAAGTATTTTACACTAATCCATGTTTATTGTCTCTCAAAAAAGTATTTTATTCTTATGTAACAGGGTACATTTTAAAGGGGGAATAGAGATAAAAAGATATAAAAGTAGAGAGACAGACAGGCGAGAAGAAATAATAGTTAAAGGATGTATAAGAGGACAATAGGTTCTCCTATGTGGAGAGTGTAGTAATATGTCTACACCCCAAACGATCAGGTAATAGTCAGTGGAGGTATGAAAGAGAGAAGTAGTATAGTAAAGTGGTGGTATAAAGACTACAGCAACTAACAATAATAGTACCACTCCTATACTCAACAAACTAACGATTGAATAAAAGAATAACAACTAACAATCATGTTTATTAAGAAATGGCATTACAAAGTCGTAAATCTCTTATTACACAACCAAGATGACCTTGATGCAAAAGATGTTCACACTATAAAACTCAGCAACTGACAGCAGAATCTACTCTACTCAACGATAAACTAGCAAGTGACGCCTAGAATCTCCTTCATTGCTCTACAAATAATCTTCTTCTTCTTCTTCGCGTTCACTAGCTGTAAACTCTGGCGGAAGGTTCTGGTTGCTCGTCCACTACTGAACTGCAGTCCTGCTCCAGAACCTGAGTGTTGCGTGTGCATCAGTTTTACAGATCTCATTCTCTTGAATACAGACTGTTGGTTCCTTGCCTCTCCGGCAGATGCACTCCGACTTCAAAGGAAGCTCCCCAATTAGTCGACTCTTACGACATGCTTTTGGGGAGGCAGTGGGTCTATTCTTGTTTTCCTCACAATGGGGCCCCGGAACCCACACGGGGGTCTACAAATAATAAGCCAAATAACGACTACAATCTAGCCATCAACTCTATCCCCTCTTTAAAATGTACCCTGTTACACTTATCCATGTTCATTGTCCCTCATTAAAGTATTTTATGCTTATCCATGTTCATTATCTCTCCCTGGCCGTTACCTTGTTTAAATAAAATACTAATGTATTGTACATTTCCAGGCTATGACACCAGAATTCAAAGTTTACCAAGAACAGGTGCTGAAAAATGCCAAAGCCATGTCAGACACACTTTTGAAGAAAGGATACACTGTCGTTTCTGGTAACTTTTTTCCTCCCACTGATTTACTTATGTTGCTGCACATACTTTAAACATTGTTTAAACCATTGTTCTTAAACTGTTTAACATAGTTTAAACCATTGTTCTGTAACTGTTTAAACATAGTTTAAACCAGTAGGTTCTTTCATAATATCCTACTCCAGATGACGTCACAGGAAAGTGCAACATTTTAGAGGGTGGTAAGACTAGGTTTCCTGGCTTTCTGATACTTTAAATGACCCCAAAACATCTAGAGCTGGCCCTAACCCCAAACCACCTACGCCCCACGAGAAAGTGCAGCCTAGATCCCACAACTGCATGCAACCTAGTGTTCTTCAAGTATTTTATATCCACGGATCAGAAAAACACAGGAAGTTGTTTCACAGACTAGCGATAGTGCACACACATACAAATAAATGCAGATACAAGTTTTGTTTTTGTTACTTCTTCTTCTTCACTTCCTCTTTTACCGCTGTGGGTGTTGAGGGGGATATAAGGTTCTGTTTCTAGCATTTTGTAACACCCAATGTAAAATTACAATGTTTGTGACATCCTCTCCTGCTTAGAGGCTAGAAAATCTAACATAACCCTTAACCTATTAGGGTTGTAGAGGTGTATCGGTGGAAACACTATCGTACAAAGCACGGCATCTTTCTCTTTGCCATCTGCTTGATGAACAAGTTTATGAAAACGTAGTGCTGTCCATTTTTTAATGTTGTCATTCCAGGTACTTCTTTGCCCTCCTCTTCTTCAACTACCCCACCAATGTTCCTTGAAGTAGTCTCTGCAGTCAAATCATGTCTCACCACGTGCCAGAACCAGGTTTCACCACTGCCAAGAGAGGCTCCTGATGTCCTGCAAATGTGTTTATTTTGTCTCTGACATATTTGTTAGTTTTATAATTTAAATTCGTAAAATGCATCTATAGCATTTGAAAGCCTGAATCTTCCTTTCCATTTTCACAGTGATGAGAGTCCACTCTCTCGTCTGAAAATCTATGCAGCAATAACATGTAGTGCCAACTTGATATATCTGCTACATGGCACAGCATGTTCGAGGTTGCCTAATGTATCGACCATCATTCCCCCCCCCCCCCACAAAAAAACATAGCACAACCACAACACAGGCTGCTCCCTACCCGTGTGTATTCCGGGGCCCTATTGTAGGTAAAACAAGAATAGACCCACTGCCTGCCCAATAGCATGTCGTAAGAGGAGACTAATTGAGAGCTTTCTTCGAAGCCGGAGTACACCTGCCTGAGAGGCTAGGAACCATGTAAATAAGTCATATTTGTAAAATGCATGCACAGGTAACACTCAGGTTCTAGAAAGACTAAAAGTCCAGAAGTAGACGAACAACTAGAACTGTCCGCCCGAGTTTACAGCTGGTGAACATGAAGAAAAAGACAGACTGCTCCCTTGATGACGAGGGAACAGAATAATTTGAGAGAAAGCACAGCCACCCTGGCTGCTGCATAATTCGGCATAAATTGTGTGAATCCTCAGGACATATCTGTGGAACATCAGTAACCCGCCTGACAGCTAACCAGAAAACAAACAATAACAAATGTAGATAGCAGGTATTTATTAAATCCCATATCATACAGTTAAAATTTTTAGCCAATGCTACATCTGCTGATTAGAGGCTAGAAAATATAACTGGCTAGAGCATTGTTTCTGAATGATGAAGTGCTGCAATAACACCTAGTCAGTTTCTCTGTTTGGTTTTAATTAGTGAGTTGCTTATAAAAATCTTTTCACACAAATAGAAGAAAAAAATTAATCAACATTCTCATAACTTCTCTTCGGAGATGTGTATTTTTTGTTTAGTAATTTGCAGAAATTTGACATGCAGCCGCTACATGAGGCAGACATTTTTTGTCAGGCCACTAATTGACGGAACCATTTTAACACCTTGTTAGATGTCGTGTGATATCAAATTATAGTTTCATTACTTTATTGGCTGCTGTCTTTTGAGGTAAAATTTAGTTTGAGAGCTTTATTAAGAAAAGAACCCTTTCAACACCGTAGATCAGTGAACTAAAGATAAATGTGCACATTATTAGGCCTCTGCTTGTCTCACAATGTGTCTGTCTGCGCAGGTGGAACTGAGAATCATCTGGTACTGGTTGACCTGAGACCCAAGGGAAGCGATGGAGCTCGTGTAGAGCGGGTTCTGGAGCTGTGTTACATCACTGTCAACAAGAACACTTGTGCTGGGGACAAAAGTGCCATGACACCTGGCGGTCTCCGCCTGGGTAAGTATGTTGACTTTTCTGTCTGCATTAAACCTGAACACCCCCCCCCCCCTTTTCCCCTTGAAAATACAACCATATTTCATCCGCCACTTATTATTTTTAAATATATATACATATATATATTCATTTAATTTTTGTGTGTAAGGTAAGGAACCTTTTCCGTGCCTTTGGGCATATTAGGCATAAAAGACTATATTTAGGTGGGTGATGTGGTCAGCATCGTGCCAGCTACCTTTACTTCCCATAACCTTACCTGGTACCCATTCAAGGCTGGGTCGACCTGGGAGCCAAGATTATTTTCTAAGAAAAAAGTTTGGCTCGGGCTTTATTAGGACCTAAACCTATGACCTTCGGATCCGTAGGCTCCCCATATAGGTTCTAGGACTCCAGTGTGAGGAAAGCAAAAATAGAGCCACTGCCTCCCCAGCAGGCATGTTGTAGGAGTCGACTAACTTAGACTTCCTTCAAAGTCGGAGTACATCTGCCCGAGTGGCAAGAAGCCAACAGTCTACGTACGCATGTGAGATCTGTAAAACAGATGTGCACGCAATACTCAGGTTCTGAAATAAGGCTGAAGTCCAGAAATGGACAAACAACTGGAACTTTGCACTGGAGTTTACCGCCAGTTAACAGGAAGAAGAGGAGAATCCATAAGCGAGCATCCAGCTACCACATAAGTTCCATTTATGTGCGACACATATGGAGAGTTATCAGTAAACACTGATTACCGTCAAGACCCAAAATTTATATCCGTGGAGTTTACAAAATATATTAAGTGACTTATACCGCCACCACCCAGTCTGAACAGGACGGTTACAGGAACATTGTGATGTCACAGTAGCTTTAAAATAGCCATTTTGTTCACCAGGACTTGACACCCCCCCCCCCCCAAATTCTTTTGTTAAGTAAGTGTGTCAATTTCCTGACCTCCTAGAGTGCCCCAACACGGTTTCTTTGACTAGGCTTATCGGGGCTTGGCTACTGTAGAAATGCAGAAGCAGCATTTATGGATTTGCGCCATTGATGGATGTGCTAGAGTGGCGGTTTTGCTGGGAAAATGATTAAATGGACTTATCCCTTCCTTGTATACCATAAGTAGGGCAAATCTGTCAAAAGAAAACTAGTTTGTGGGAAAGTAACATGAAATAACTAGAACAATTTTGCCAAAATGAGTCACAGCAAAGGGCAAGATCACTAGCAATGAAAGGATTAACATTTTTCAAGCCCAAAAAAATCAGCTTAATTTGAGTAGGTTTTATCCTGTTTAACTTGCTATCTCTCCATAGAATAGCCAATCACCTGCGGATTGCTCCAGCAATCCCCAGAATACTGTGCAGACCTGATAAGAACTCACAGGGGACCCAAGAACATGGTTCTTATAAGAAATTCCTTTTATTCAGATAAAAATTGTATGTACTGTATCCATAAAAACTCGGCACTCATAAATCAAATATGCAGTCCGTGTAATGAACACATGACCTTCACAGTGAGAGACTTAACCAGAGAAAATGCAAGGAAGATATATTATTCTTAAGTATACCTGGCTGTAAGTACATTTAGTTGATGATACATTATTCCTACTACACAGTGTCCGTATCCTGACCCGATATCCTTGCACAGGTGTGAACACAGCCAAAAGCATTAACTATGTCTTGTAAACAAATCACTATAGACAAGCTGGAAATGTGACATTTAAGAGGAATTAGCCCCAACTAGTTTTGCAACTTCTCGGCAACAAGATTAAAGTAATTTCTTCTCGCTGTGTGGACTTTGGTGACCCCATTTGAGGGGGGGGGGCGTAGACACCCCATCCCAACAAGCATGTCATAAAAGTCGAATAAGGGTTTTTCTTTCAAAATCAGAGTTCATCGGCCTGAGTGACAAGAAACCAACAGTCTGCTTACAAGTAAGCCACATCTGTAAAATGGATATGCATGCAAAACTCAAGTTCTGAAACAAGACTAAGTCCAGAAGTGGATAAACAACCAGAACTTTCTGCTGGAGTTTACAGTACAAGTTAGGAAATAACTTTAATGGTTGTGTCATGGCTGTTATCTTTCAATGGTGTCTTTCTAATTTTAGGTGCTCCAGCCTTGACATCCAGAGGGTTCAAAGAATCCGACTTTGAAAAAGTGGTGGAATTATTTGACAAAGGAGTCCAGATTTCTCTGAGGGTTAAGCAAAAAACTAGTAAGTTTTTCCATTGTCATTATCATAAATGTACTTATCTTCACCAATTTTACCTTTTGCCTTTAAGCAACATGGGGAGGAAGTTTAAAACATATCACTGGTTGCATGGCATTGTCGTATCGTGGTTGCATGTGTCTATTTCATCAGTCCATCTGCTTAGACATGGCCCTTCTGTCAGATCAATCTCTTTAGGTATATAAACTTATTTAATGCTCTGTTTTAGTTTTATATATTAATATTCAAATAGATTTTATTTGTGAGCAAAACTTTTGAAATCTCTGTGTGGATTTTAGGGCCCCATTGGGGGAGGAGGTAGTATAGACCCACTGCTTCCTTTCAGAGCAAGTTGGATCTGTCTCAGAGCTGAAGAACCAACACACTGCATGCAGTTAAGCCAAATGTGTAATGTGAATGTGCTGCAACCTAAAAGCTCTGAAATAGAATCAAACTCCAGATATTGAGAAACTGTCAGAAGTCTGCACCAGAATTTACAGCTGGTGGGCCCTAGAAATCCTTGTCTAGATCTTTTGGCTAACCACTGTTCCTAAATGTGTCGTAAAATACAATAATTTGCTGAAATTGGATCACAGGATGCAGATATCACCGTCTAGCTGTAAACCACCATTTAAGGGCGAAAGCAGAAGAGTCGGTTCTGTTTTGGGTTAGTATTTAAAACAATGTTCCCCCCCCCCCCCGAAATGAATTTATAAAATGCAGAAACAAACAATACATTGCACAATTTATTGCCAGGCATATTTCACTTTTTGTTATCTCCTCGGACGGGTTACATCAGCATAAAATGAAGCACACACAAAACAGAATAAATCCAACCCAATTTGAAAAAGTTTCTTTTGTTGCATCGCCTGAGGTTCACTGTAGTCACATGACTTAGGTAACTTCAAATTTACTATAAATTCACTGTAGTCACACGACTTACCAGTAACTTCAAATTTACTATAAATTCACTGTAGTCACACGACTTAACAGTAACTTCTAATTTACTATAAATTCACTGTAGTCACACGACTTAACAGTAACTTCTAATTTACTACAAATTCACTGTAGTCACACGACTTACCAGTAACTTCTAATTTATTATAAATTCACTGTAGTCACACGACTTACCAGTAACTTCTAATTTATTATAAATTCACTGTAGTCACACGACTTACCGGTAACTTCAAATTGACTATAAATTCCGTTTGCTTACAAAGGAGGGGGATGCAACACTGTAGTCATACATAAGATACAGCAAAATATACCTGGAAATAAATTGTGTAAAGTATTGTTTGTGTCCGCTTTATTTTAATTTTTAATTTATTTTATTTACACTTCATGCTTAAATTGAAAATTTTACTTCTTGTTTTCTCTGTTTGCTTTGTTTCAGTATTTTAGTTTTAATGACACACATCTCTACTTTCAGAAACACTGAAAGACTTCAAGGCACATCTTCTAGAAGACGGTGACACACAACGTGAACTATCCACATTGAAGGAAGAAGTGATGGCTTTTGCAAGGACTTTTCCCATGCCAGGATTTCAGGATAGATAAGAATGTCTAGCAGCAGTCAATACTGTTGTAAAAATATGGCAAACTGGCAGCAGCTGATTAGATACCTTTACTGTTACTTAATTGTGCTTTAGATGTTGCATTTGATCATAAGGGCTAATAAGTAATATAGAAAAAAAAAGAGCAAATAACGAGACCAAAAAAAAAAGAATGTGTAATTAAAAGTTGAGTGGGGGGTAGACCAAGAAGATGGTGAAGAGATAACATACGGACCAGGCAGATCTGCAAACACTTGGTATTCGGGAAAGCGGTCGGTAACAGAGATAAATGGAGGTGTGTGTTTTCTGCAGCATGATTCTCTCAGGGGCTAACCAAATTATCAATGTGGTCTAATATGTGTCTAGAACTATATACCCAGTATGCCTTGGGCCAGGCCCATGTTAGAAGACTCAAATTCCACAAGATCTGGCATCAGAGAACACTGGTTGGTAAGCGGAATGTCTTTTGAATCAACACAGCTGTGAAGATCAGAAAAGTATGCAACAGCCTGGAAGACAAGGCAGTGAGCCTACCAGCATAAAGTTAAAACGGGCTTGGGCATGAAAATGCAATGACGAACAGGCCATAAAAGCCAATTAAAAGTCAACTGCACAATGGTGGTGAAGATGAAAAGACCACATTTTATCTTTACAAGTAAATACAAGCAGCATATTGGTTTATCTTTACAAGTAGCACATTGGATATTATTTAAAGACTATTTGATATTGCAAGGAAACAGGATCTGCATAATTTAGATATACAAATATGCTTAACTTTTTCAGATAAATGTAAATATGAATTCCCTCATCATGTAAAATAAAGATGATTGATTTGCTATCTGATTTGGCACACAAAATAGCATTACAATTTAAGTGTTTATCTCTGATTTAAGAAAGGGGAAAAGCCTACTACTGTACCCTAAATGATGCCCGTTTGCGGAATTTATCTGTATTATGTCATTACAGGCTAGAATTTTCTTCCCCTGGCTCACGAGTGACAAATCTTTAAAATTGTGGGAAGAGCAGCTGTTTTACTCCACTATCAGTATTATTGTGAATGCTTTTGTTACCAGAGATTTGGTAGTTTTCTGTAAAATGGTATGTTGAAACTCATGTTATATACACAAATTTTAAAATACTGAATTGTGAAATTGTTTGGAGTTTTTGTGTGTGCGTGTTACTTATGTTTTCTTTACATACAGCTTTGAAATTTGATCTTGCCAAATGGTACGGCTGTAAAATTATGGTTGTATGTCTACCCCTGGATCCAGAAATTGTGTTGTGCACGCACATCGTTTACTGGAATTAATGCACACAGTTGGTTTCTTGCCTCTGACTTAAGAGGACCTAAATATATTTGATTTCTAAAATGTAAACCCACTCTTTGAAACCAAGATGACAATTGCAGTGAGTCATCTAAATCTGCTAGCCCTGTCCTCTCCAATCAGTACTACAGGAAAAGATTAGTTTTAAAAAAAACGGACAAACCTCAAAATTTCTTTTTTCGTGTTTGGTCGCTGTAAAATGGAAAGTTCTGGTGGTTTACCACTTCTGGAATTTAGTCTAAAACCTTGGTGTTGAAAGACACCTGTTTCACAATCTGAGTGTATTGCAGACTCTTGGTTCCTTGTCCCTCAGGCAGATATGCACTCAGACTTCAAATAATGTCCCTAATTAGTCAACTGTAATGAAATGCTCGATGAGAAGCAGTGGGTCTATTGTTTCCTTAAAACCCACTCTGAGCCAAAGTCCAGGGCACCTCGCAGGAGATATGTCTAAACAGCAACAGGTGATACAATATGATATATATATACTTTGGTTATATACCACATGAGTTTAGATGTTTTATTACCAAACATCATATCATATTACTAACACACACAAAACTCCAAAAAAAGTCTGCAAGAATTTTTATCTCTTCAAAAAACTTTATGCAATAGAACTAGCATTAGAAGCAATTCGAGGCCACAAATCTGCACACTCTTTGGCAACTGGGCCTGTAATTGCTGAACCTGTTAAGATTTCACAAACAAAAATATGTGAGTACATAGAAACAAAGATCTTACTTTAGACAAGAATCTGCTGATTAAGATATAGGCGTGCGTTAAATTTATAGGTATGTATTGGTAATTACATACACATAGGCAGTGCGTACGTACATAAATTAGTGCACCCCTTTAGTCACCTGCTGCAGCATGGCTACAGTGTATATGCTTCTGTAACATTTGAGCAGTCCTCAACTTTTCCCTAAATGTTAACTGTGGTGATGACGTTTTAGGTGGGAGCTTATAGGCATTACCAGCCGATATAAAATGTGTTGCAAGGAATACCCAAAGCCTAATATACCAATGACGACAATCGAGAAGGTAGCTCGTAGTCAGCGGCGAACCAGAAAACAAAGGTAGTTGTAGTGCTGAATATGGTATAAATGATCTGTATGATAGTTAAGCAATAATTGCAAGAAAAATATCTTCTCTGGCAGTGATCTCTGGTCATGCGCATAATCCACTGTGGGCCATAAACTGGGATGTCGTCTTTTAGGTTTCCCCAAAGCTTAGTTGTCAGGTCTACTGGGTGTTGCCATATGTTGCTTTGCAGCTCTGCTAAGAGAGGACAGTCTTGCAAGACATGTACTAGAGTCTGTTCGGCACAAAGACACTGGCAGAAAGCTGTATGGCTTTTTTTTCAGTTATAACCTGTGTTGGTTTCCCAATCTGTTTCTGATGCAAGGAAAATAAATACAATGAGAAAATGTGCTAAAGTGGGGGGATAAACATCATCATCACTGATTACAGAATGCTACTACTCATGGCAAGTCTGAATGTGTCTCATTCTCTGACCAATGTTCCAGCCCTATGTGCTTTCACAATTAATAACTCCCTCTATCACCATTAACACAACCAGAGCACCTCAGTTTTTGGGACAGGATACTAAGCCAGTTCTCCATACTCAGATCATGTAGGGTATAAATTTATTGGCCCATGATGTTTTAGAAGAAAAGAAAAAAAGCCTCGGAGCTCGTCACCCCAAGATTTAGGGTTACCTCCCGTTTTGACTAAATATGCGTATCAGTGTCCTGGAAAGTGAAAGCAGTCGATATGATGTTGACCACGCGACTTACTGACAACTGGTCTGTACAAACAGGAGTCTCGGCATCATATGCCCAATGTGCCACTGATGTTAAAAAATGGCTGTTTATTAGTTCACATGTATGGTGTGGACAGGTCCTTAATGTTACATTTACTTCGCTTTCATTTTACATTGTGGTGGAGTTGAACTCTTTAGATATCAGGTAACAGGCATTATGCCATCCCTGGTACCAAAAGATTTAGGCAGCAGAATCCCCGTTTACAAAGGGTTATCCGATGCTTATCATCATCAAGCACCTTGTCAACTAGCGCAGGCGTTAATACATCTCCATAGATCTTGGTCTTTGGTGTTCTGCATTAATTACACTGATGATATTCCCTTATGCCATTGTCTTAAGCCATCCACCATCATTTCTCTTGGTCTGCCTCCACCTGTTTTACCAGGTAGTTACACAATTTTCCAGTGCTCCTTTTATCACATGTCTAAAGGAACTTTGTCTCATTCTCATTGTTCTACTTTTATTAGCCATTCCCAGGCAATCATTGTTATTCTGGCAGTCCAAGGTATGCATAACATTCTACTCACGAACTTCATCTTAACCGCCTCCAAACTTTTTATCCAGTGCTAGAGATGCTAATTGTGCAGGTAGGTACTCACCTTTCATCTCGCCTTTAGGATTCACAATGACACCCGCATTATCTTCAAAATAGAGAAACAATCCATCCTTTCTTCTTAGGGGTTTTCTCTGACGTATAACCACAGCTGGCATAACTAGAATGTGAAGAGAGATGTGAATAATGTATTACAAAGTAGAAACATGACAAACACTAACCACAGCATTATGTTTTATCGCCCCTCTTTCCCCCCAGATACATCTGACCTCTGTAAGCTTGATAAACCTGACCTCTTCATTTTTTTCCCGTTCACCTGAAATAAGTTGTCTATTTTTTTTTTTCGTTTACCTGAAATAAGTTGTCTATATCAACATTTTTGTCTTGTATAATTTTCGTGTCTCCGGTTCGTTCAGTCGTTTACACTCCACTGCTTCTGGACAAAAGGTTTGTCTTTTTCAATTTGGTGCAGTCCTGAGTACATGTTCTGCTGTCTGGTGCATCTTTCCACAGTGTTGAGTTGTGTGTATACATGTAGTTAGGTAATCGGTTGTGTCCACATACTTTCTACTTTTCAGATTTTAACCATTTGGTATTTTCTACTGTCTAACTTTCTTGGCAGTAGTCATGGTGTAGCGGCTAGACGCTAGCCTGCAGATCACAAGGTCGTTAAAGTTATCACCTATTTGGATGCTGCATGTCTATATTTTCTAGGATGCCTCACACAGATTTAGGACATCAAAAACTTGTTCAACCGTTCTATTTTTTCTGTATGCAAGGCAGTTTATCGTAAACTGCAGCAGCCACCTCTCTATACCAAATAAAAATTAAGCCAAAAATAATCTTGGTGTCTGATTTTAATCTCCTCTTCGTTTACTGGCTGTGAATTCCAGCAGAAGGTCCTGGTTAATCGACCGCTTGGACTTTTGGCTTTCCCCCAGGTCTGAGTTTTGCGTGTAAAACCATTTTACTGGTTTTTGCTGTTCCCTGCCTCACAGACAGATGTACTCCGACTTTGAGGGAAATATATATGTGTGTGTGTGAGCATGCTGGACATGAACTATGCAGTACCGAGGTTGGAAAAGGATGACATGGACTGTGTTGCCTAGAGGGAGGAAAATGACAAAGCTGCTCTGGGTAAAGGAGACTGCTTGCACATATTTTGCCTCCTTGTCCGTTCGCATGAAATAAATTATCTATATCTGCAATGCTGTCTCTAGTATAAACTTCACTGTCTGTTGTAATTCACTAAATGGCCCCTAAAGTAAATTCCACAAGTGTCTTTTGGCCAGAAGTTTTGTCTGGAAAAGTTGAATCTGGGACGGTCTTGGAGGATGTGTTCTGTTGTCATGTGCCAGTCCACAGGTACACATGGCTGATTTGTTAATCTTAAATTGTTTGCACATCCTGCAGCGAAGTCGATTGTGCCCTGTTCTGAGGTGAAAGATAATGACTTGCTCTGGTCTATACATTATATGGTAATCATCTTTTGCCAGTTTCGGTGGCTTTGTTATTGCTAGCAGATATGTTTAGAGCGACTGCCTAAAAAGAAGCACTTTTTATCAACGCTAACCCTTAGCCATCGGGGGGGGGAGAGGGGGAGGGGGATGTTAACCAGGGATTACTTTGTACTTCAAGTTTCAACTGAACTCATGTGTCCTTATATCATTCAGCAGTATGAACATGTCACTGAATAATGTGGTTATGATCAGCCTACTGTTTATGCTGTCTTTTGCTAGTTGTGTAGCATGTGTTAATGTCAAATTGCATTTCTGTGGTGTCTTTTTTACTCCCCCCATCCATTTCTTTCCTGCTCGGCCTCCTGCTTTGTCACGAAGTACGTCTTAGCTGCTAATTGATTCAGTTTGGCTACAGTATTTGAAAAAAAATTAACTCACCTTTTTTTCTTAACTCTGGCTTTCCTTTCTTCACCGTGGCAACGAACATGTCCCCGATACCAGCAGCTGGCAGCCTATTGAGGCGACCTTTGATCCCGTGGACAGCAATAACAAACAGGTTCTTGGCACCTGTGTTGTCAGCACAGTTGATGACTGCTCCCACTGGGAGACCCAGGGAGATGCGGAATTTTCCTCCGGCTGAACCACCACGTCCTGATTGGTAAAGAGACAGTGACAATTATAAATAAACATTATGAAAACTAGTTAAAGACAAGCTATAATAAAAACTGTTGGCTCTACTGGCAAATCCGGACGAAGAATAAACAGCCTTGGACGACTTAGTCAGAGTTATCTCCCGTCGCCGCACTCCAAACAGTGATCGGAAAAGCCACAACGAAACAAAGAAGACAGTCACGTCGATATCAGGGCTGCCAATGCTTGGTTGTTTCCCCCAGATCTGGGTTTTTTTTCGACGCTGCAGGACAATTCTGGTTTTTTTTTTTTTGGGGGTGTGTTTTGTTTGTTCGTGTTTGCCGATTTGTATGCTTTAATGATCGATAAATTTGCGTGGTTAGGGGGGTAGGGGTTAGGGTTAGGGAGTAGGATTAGGATAAGGGTTAGCGGTAGGGTTAGGATTAGCGTTAGATTTGACAATTTTGAAGCCGGAGTTCCCTATAATCGCGCAGTCCCATACACACACACAAACAATCGAGGGCCTCTGGATGCTGGTCACACGCACAATTCGCCAACGATTGGGGGCACCAGCCGCACGCTATTGGCGTCATATTTGGCAGTTTCAGTGGCGCCACTCCCACAAACATCATATTGTCGGCCAGTATTTCGAAATCCTACGTCAAAATTTTCACATCTAACCCTAACCCTAACCCTAACCCTACCCCTAACTCTAATCCAACAACCGCATGATGATGACTACACAACCATTCACAGTGCCTCACGCAACCGTATGCAACTGTGCACGCAACCATATGATGATGCCACTATGTCTCACGCAACCGTACGCAGCCCTACACGCAACCGCAGGATGATAGGTAAGTGTGTCGTTTGTTTCGTTTGTTTTCCGATTACTGTTCGGAGTGCGGCGACGGGAGATAACTCTGACTAAGTCGTCCAAGTCTGTTTATTCTTCGTCCGGATTTGCCAGTAGAGCCAAACTGTTTGGTTACTATATCACTTGTCTTAACCTGTCCAGATGATTTATAACAAAAATTGTCTGCATAAATATGGCATAAGAACAGCCTTACAAAAATGAACATCAATCTTAGTGCTCTTGACAGAATAATTTATTAACCTGTGCTGTTTGACTAATTCTACTCAACAGAAAACAGAATTGTCAAAATTAATATTTAACCTGCAGTAGCTTCTTAGACCTAAACAGCTGTGTAAAAATTAAGTCAACAATAGTTGCATTAATATTTATGGTGCAAAAACACACAATCAATTAATAATCTTCAGGTGATGTGTTTTATATATAGGTACAGATAAATCTGCAAATTATGGTAGTCAATTGTGCTGCATCTAGTGTTTATTTTAAATTTATCTTGCTTTGCTGCATGTAAATGCAAAAGCTTGACATTCAAACAAAAACAGGTCGTGGTTATTTACAGAGCAGATGAAAGAAGCAATGATTATGTCAAATCAGCACTACTGTATGGGGCGGAAACATGGAGAACAAACAAGGCAATTACAAATAAATTACAGACATTCATTAACTGGTGCCTGCGCAGAATAGAGGGAATTAAATGGTATGATAGAATAACTAATGTAGAACTATGGGAGAGAACTAAACAGGCTCCACTGGATCAGGTGAGGAAAAGACGCTGGCGTTGGATAGGGCACACACTGATAAAACAGGAGAACAGCATAACTAGAATGTCTTTGCATTGGAACCCACAAGGGCATAGTATAGGAATAAAGGAAGGCCAAAAAACACATGGAGAAGAGAGCTGGAGAATGAGGTTAGAAAGATTGGGAGGACATAGGGAGAACTCCATGCAATGGCGAAGAATATGAGAACGACTTGGCGTGAGTTGGTTGAGGGCCTATGTTCCATTGGGGGATAGAAAGGCAGAAGAAGAAGAAGACTAGGAAATCTGTGCTTGTTCAGGCAGGTTACAGTGTGATGAGTTTTGACACCTGACACTTAGCTTAATCCCTTGTACAATTATTGTTTTTACTTTTAGTGTCTTGACCGCGAAATGAGATGCTTACGTAAGGAGAGACAGTTCAAAACGAGAACATTAGATCAATTGTAGGAACCACACCATGCCTGCAATACATAAAGAAGCAACAAATAGAGTGGTTTGGCCACTTGATGCAAATGCAAACTGACCAACTGCCTCTATGAGCATACAACGAACAGCACTACTGCCCTAGAGCAAGAGGCAGACCGAGAGTACAATGGATAGACAATATATCAGAGATCCTGAGGTAACACGGACTAACAACAACACGTGCAACACACCTGGCCCAGGATAGAAAACTGCGACTCCCCACTACGCTGTGAGGCAATTGTGGACAAGACAAGACCGCATATATAAACATTTATGGTGTTGTGTGGTTCATCTATTCACCCAACTTAACAGTACAGTAAATATGGTTGGACTTGTCAAGATACTTTCTTGTCTCATCTGTCTTTACGGTTACCAGATGTGTTAAATCAGCTGGAATCTACTGCATGCTTATAATGATGTGTGTGGTCATCTGGTTTGTTACCTTGCCGTGACAAAAAGTCATAATCTTTTCGTGCTGTCTTCCCCTGTCTCTCTTTCTAGTGGTCACAACATGTTTAGTCTCTTTAGCAGACCAGCTTTCTAAAGCCAACTTAAGGTGCTAAGTGAGGATTACACTGTAAAGTAGTTTTAAGATGTCATGTTCACTCCTGTGCAGCGATGTCCACTTTATTATTTGAGCACATATTTTGTTGTATCAAAAGTTAAGTAACACTAAAAAGTTGGCTCTCCTTTCAACTTCGGCAGGTAGACAAACGACGGCCGTTAGTCGGAGTTATGTCTCCTTGCTACAGTGCAATTACGACTGGACAGGAGGAAACGAAACAAATGACATAATTACTGTATGTTGCCGATAGACAGCATGCGGTTGCGGTTTGGGTTAGGGTTTGGTTTAGCGCTAGGGTTAAGTTTAGGGTTAAGGTTACTGTCGCCGCATCTCGTATTTGCACAAACTCATAGTAGCAACACAAACCCTACCCCTAACCCTAGGGCACTGCACGCTGTCTATCGCCGACACACAGTAACTATGTCACTTTGTCTCGTTCCCTCTAGTCCACTCCGTAATGCGTCAGAAGCGGTAATTGAACGCGGTTGCTAATATGAGTGGCAGCGCGGGGTCTGCAAGTCGACCTCATTGTGTTCTTTGATTCGTGCCGTCTCCAGTCCCTTATGGCACTGTAGCAAGGGGACATAACTCCAACTAACCGGCCGTTGATGTTTGTCTACCGGCCGAAGTTAAAAGGAGAGCCAAAAAGTTAGTTGAGTATCCTTTACAGGAAGTTGCAGAACCCCCAACAGCCCCTAGCTGTTGTGTGGTTTTTTTAGGCAAATTTATGTCCAGTAGTTTGCCATTGCTTTCGACCGGCTTTATTGACACCTATGTCGAAACCAACGCAAGGCCCATGGCCGCAGCTGGGATCGAACCCGGCATCGACTTAGCCACAGAGCCGACTAGGTAACACTGTAACACACATCTGTAGTCCTGAGTGACAGTAAAAGAAGTAGTAGTAAATAAAGTTCAAGCCCACATGTGTCATAATGAATAATGGGTTAATGTAATGACAGGCAGGGACAACTAGATGAAAACAATGTGTTGTGTACGGTCACGGTGGACTGATTAACACATTGTAAGCTAAATAATGTTGGTTGCTGTAGCTATAAAGTCACGTATCATCCATTGTATGTGATCTACGGTGATTCAGTTACCATAGTGTCTCAACTTTCTTACGGATTCACATCGTAAAAGAATCTTACATGTTCTCAATCAAATGTCCTCTCAGCATCTTGTAAAGTCATACAGTGTACGCGACTATGTCCTAAAACATAACAACGCTGTATATTCATGTTGTTTATGACACATACTTGTCCTCAAAAATACACATATTTTTAGTTAGTTCCAAATTTTAACAAATACGGAAAAAAATTGAACTGCACAATTATTGAGAAGTTGGTGCATAAAAACAATGTGCATAACAAGATTATCACAGATTACACGGATCAATGTCTAAACACATACATACCTCTCTTAGACATTTTGGAAAAAGGAAATAGGAAATAGAGTTGTCCACCGGTGTCGGAAGTAGATCTTTTGTGGTTTTCTTTAGTTCCTTAGAAATTGAAACGAATTTTAATCTTAACGAAACTAACCGAGGAGGTTAACTAATTGGGAGCTTCATTCGAAGTCGGGGTACATCTGCCTGAGAGGCAAGGAATCAACAGTCTGCATACAAATGAGTCAAACTTGTGAAACGGATGTGCACATAATACTCCCTTTCTTGAACAGGACTAGAGACCAGAAATGGACGAACAACCAGAACTTTCTGCTGGAGCTTACAGCCGGTGAATGCGATGAAAGATTAAGCGAGGGACATCTGAACCTTTGCTGTCATACAGAATTACACTGGATGGACGAACAGTTAAAGCTTCTTCTTCTTCTCTTCTACCTTGTTGTTTATTGAAGTGTCGGGGGGGGGGGGAGATGTAATGTTCGTTGATGAGCTCTGTCAAGAGCACTATTAAGACTGATGTTCATTTCTGTAAGGCTGTTCTTAATGCCATCACTCCATATTTTTCCAAGGTCTTCCACTTGCTCTATACCCGTTGTAACGTTTTAGTGTGGCTCGCTGTGGCAGATAGTACCAAGGCATTCTTGTTAGGTGTCCAAACCACTTTATTTGTAGTTCTTTGATGATCCGTAAGACTGGCTTTATTCATAGCATTAGTCTGATTTCGTATTCTGTCTTTCCTTGAAACTCCTGCAGCTCTTCTAAGGCATTTCATCTCTTCTGTCACAATTTTACGTTCACTGAAAGATGTAAGTGTCTACGTTTGGCGTTGATAGCATAGTGTTAGTCAAAAAACAGTTCTGATAAGATTCACTTTAGTACTTCGAGGTATCTGCTTGTGTGTCAACAAGGGAGATATTTGCCCCATTACTTGATTAGCTTTGGCACATCTGGAGCTAATTTAGTTTAAACTAAACAACGATATTTTAGGAGTCTCGGTCGAGTTTGTAATTTAATAGGGTACCCAGCAGGGAACTTAACTCATATGTTCCAAATGAGTTTTCTGTATAGGTTATCGCCCATGCACAGGGGGTGGGCTGATAAGCGCCAGAGTATTTCTGAGCACGTCATCTCCGAGGGCCACCAACTCCGACATTCCCTGCAGCTCGTCTGAAGCTGATATAGGCCATTACCCTTCTTTTTCTTCATCGTCTGTTTGAGTAAGATGTTTCCACTCTGCCTGTTTACAACAGAGCTGCGATATTTGCGCCTTTCATCGGACACATCCGACATCATCGGGAATTAGTTCACAGGATTAACCTTTCCGGTTGGTTTCGTTGGACATGGCGTGGCCTTATTTGTGTGGTGTCCTCTTTGTCCTTTCATCTACAGGTGTTGTCCCTGAAGAACTTATCCAGAGCAACTGCGTGTAGTTGTCGGCCCTTGGGGGAAGACAGCGGCAAATTATGAGCACTCTCCGCCATCCAAGGAGATAACGACAGCAGACATTTCAACCGTGTCTGTCGGAGCTGCGGGGCTGGTCCAGGACTTCGACACCCACAACAAATAAGCACAGTCTCTTTCAGCACGTTAGACATCGTTAAGGTTGTTGCATTGGGACACCTAGCATGACAGTATCAGAGAAGCATGCATCAAACATGGCTTCTTCGTTTGGCCCCGACACTCCGACAAATGGGGCCTATGGTAGTGATCATGTGAACCTTGTCTGTCACATAGTGGACGTTCAGCTGTTGGAATCTGAACACGGCCTCACGTATGGTAAGACTTTGATAGTCGGATATCTGAAACTCTGCTGTTATGTCGTAGGACCAAATCCGTAACATACCGCCCCCAGTAGATATTGCTCGTCTAAGCTGTGTTCATATCTCATGTTAATTTTTTTTTTAATATCCAGAAACCATGAGTTCTTAACCCTTTGGCTCGGTATTATGGATATCGCAACCCTTCGGTCTTGATTCCATGATAAATACCGAAAATCTGAGAGAAAGGGGGCTTTTCTGCCTACCTCCGGGCGTGAACGCGGAACACAAAGAGTTCGTCACCCGGTCGCCGCGAAGTCATGTTTAGCCAACTACGCTAGCGAGCCGGGCATCTCATGGTCTAAGGCTGAGTGTCGACAGCTCGCAGCTATTTGGTAGGACTTCCGGTCAATAGAGATTTGAACCAAGGTGTGCTGTGTAATAGGATATCGGTCAGCGATTTTTTTTTTGGGGGTGGGCTGATGAGAGCCAGACATAAGATTTCTGGACACTGCATCTCTAGGGGCCATCAACTCTGAGATCCCCAGCCAGCTGGGTTAGCGTTAAAATTAGGGTTAATCTAACCCATTATCCGTAGTGCACGGCGTGGACGTATGGCAGGAGTCTTGCATGCACGAGGATCTGTAAAACCAGCCCACAACCTGCAGGTCTTCACATTCCCTCACGCCTGTGACCGAAATCACTGAGCCACGATACAGGCCGATGTAGTTCCAGCGGCGCTTTCTTATAAAACTGGATACATTGTCTTGCTGGGTCTCTCGACCTATGAAATATTGACACCCAGCGATGCAACGAGTTTTTTTTTTTTTTTTTTTTCAAATTTCAAATCGAATCCTAAAGGGTAATCCAGGGCTTTTTTTCTTCAAGAAAAAAGGGCACATGTACCCTCTTATCTTACTACTAAAATAGAAGCCACTTTGGATAACAGTTTACTTTGTAACCGTCGGGTTGCCGGTATAAATGTTTTTTTTTAAGGGTTAAACGGGTATTGAGGGGTATTATAGAATTTGTTCCTATTCGATTCACATCCAATGCGTCAATGGTTTTGTGTGTGTATGTCTGTGTTTGTGCATAATCTCATTAGCACGGTCGAGGTGGAGGCTATGGGTGTCTTAAACATACCTTTTTGAACGTTGAAAACAAAATAAAGGGGTTAGGGGTGGATTTTGTGTGGGGAGGGGGGGGGGGGGGTTAATAGATTTTCCGTTTTTGACAATCATCCAGGATTCTATTCTTTTGAGTCGCAGAAGCGTCAAACTTTCATGTAGAAGCCATGAGACGGGGGGGGGGGGGGGGGGGGGGTGGAGTCAGCCACAACACAGAAGATTACGAGGATTTCTTTAAAGCTGACTTGACTCATCTCCAATCTACGTGTTACTAATTATGTCTCCTAAATCCCACTGTGGGGAAAAAAAAACAAGAAACGGCCAACTGCCTTCCCGGCAAGCATGTCGTTAGAGTGGACTAACTGGAAACTTCCTGCGAAGTCGTAGTGCCTCAGTTTGAGAGGCAAGAAATCAACAGTCTGTTGAATTAAAAATCGACATCATAACGGGACACCCCTATAAGCGCTCCGTCCCCATCTTCATCAGTAAACGTAGAGTTTCAATTCCGATGACACTAATAACTGTCTGATTGTAAATCCGTCTCGCCTTTCCCTTTAGTGTTGAGCGTCGGTTAGATCCCCTGGTAACTCCTCGCAGTGTCATACTATTAGGACTGTAATGATCTATTTGCGCTTTCGCACTGTTCACTCTCTCTCTCAGAGGGTCCTCACAACGCCTAGCTTGTCATACATCAATTCACCATCAAATATTGCAGAATCGGCCAGTCTATCTGCCTGCTCATTTCCTAACAGACCGGCATGTCCTTGAGAGAATATCCAAAGAATACCAACTACATGGGACCTCTGAAATGATGCTTGTCACTCTGCACGGAGCATACCTGTCTCCACTTTTCTCAACATTCTCTGTGACTCAACAGTCTGCATACAAACAAGCAAGATCTGTAAAAAAAATTTGCACGCACCACTTCGGTTGTGGATCAAGTCTAAAATCCTGAGGTGGCCGAACAGCCATAACTTTCTCCTGAAATTTACAGCCGGTGAAAGCGAAGAAGAAAGAAGACTAAGTATGTTTGCATGTGTTATTTATTTGGCAATATACCGATCTACCTGACTGATGTGCGTTAGTCTGTCAGGAACGAATTGTTACGGCATTTTCTCTCATCCGAGCCATCGGAACACGCAAACCACTCCAATTATGCAACGCTGAGGTGGGAAAAGGGAGATAATTTTCAAAATGGTAAACATTGACGCAAAGTCAGTTGAGTAAAAGATTCGTAAGTAAGTATGTAAGTTTTACCCATTAGGGCACACACATAGCAATAAACACCCGGTGACACAAAGTGCCACCATGCGGACGAGGATCACCCGTAAAGAGGTCCAAGAAAATCCGTTCAATCGTTGGGTTATATTAGGGTCCCCGACAACAGCCAGGGTGAGGCATTATAATAACGTAATATTGCATCCCACAAGGGGACGACTTTATACGTTGTAAAGTCTAGTAAAGGTTTCGTTTCTACACTCCTTTTGCAAATTGGACATATGATTTCTCCGTGTGGATTCCGGGGCCTTATTTGGGGAAGGGAAAAGAAAAGACTCTTCTTCTTCTTTCGTTCGCCTGAAATAAGTTGTCTATATCAGCAGTTTAGTCTCTTGTATAAATTTCACTGTCGTTGTTAGTTCATTCAGTGGTCCATAGAGTTTACGTTCCACCGCTGTTCCCCCTGGCCAAAAGGTTTGCCCCAGTAAAACAATGATGCGCAGTACAAGACTCCCTAATGACTATTAGCCTCTCTTGTCCAAGCCTACCTCACCTTCACGTGGTGGACCCTGTTCATCCTAGCAATCAAGTTGAAGGTTGGAGTCTCAACTCCCAGCGGGAAACTGGATGGGACAACAAACGAGGTAAAGGCGAAAGACGAATGGATGAGCCTACTCTCCTCGAGTATGATCACAGTCTACCCTAGCAAAACAAGGTGCTGAAATCGGAGGCAACCAGCCAGGAGGCGCACCACAGCAATCAGGATGCCACGCACACACGCCATGGAAATATGAATAAATAAGCAAAACGTTATAGTACTCGCCCTGTGAATGACTGCCCCCTTTACAAGCATGTCGTAAAGGCGACTAATTAGGAGTGTTTTCTTCAAAGTTGAAGTACATCTGCTTGAGAGACGAGGAAACAAGAGTCTGCATACAAATAACTAAAATTGAAAAATGGAAACTCAAGTTCTAGAACGAGACCAAAGTCCAGAAGTGGACGAACAGCCAAATCTCAACAAACCCACCCACACTGAACTACATGTTGCGTCATAACAGTTTTGTGATGCCCTAATATCTCTGAGCTATATGGTCATACGGTTGAACAGGGTTTGTAGCTGTTTGATTCTCATCCTTCAGATGTTAATTCTACAGAATGCATATGTGGAGGAGGGAGGGGGGAACTTTAGGGGAGGGGGATACTTTCCTCCGGAGTTAATACCCTTTGATCCGTAAGAAGCATGATGAGAGAAAATATTATGTTAGTCTCAGATGTTTTAAATAATTTATCGATACTCAGTTTCATCAATATCGCATTGACCACCTTTACTTGCCAGAATATTTCGCATTATTAATTTTCCATTGGATCAACACCCGACTCACGGTAATTAAAAATTCGTATATGAATGGCTTAGAACCAATTCTAAATGCCATACAATGAATCAGTGGCAATCAAATCAAATGGTTTGTCCACTTAGAAAGAATGCCTTGTGGCGCCATACTATACAAGACATAACCAAAAGAATAGAAGGGCGTAGAGCCCATGATATACCGCAAACAAGATGGAAAGATTGACGTTATCTTTAAAACCTCTAAAATAGCATAATGTGTCTCCGGTCGAGACGACCAGAAGAGCAAGAAGCAGACTAAGAAAGACTGGATACAAACTTGACTGACTGTACAGGCCCTAGGCATGCAACCATGAAATCCACTGCATCTGACCGTCAAAGGTGGAGAGAGTCATCAGCAACTGGTGACCCTACGACACGCAGTGTAACGGGACTGTGATGATACCTATAAAACATGAATTTAAAAACAAAATGCTAAATGTCCCTCCCTATCTGTCAGTCGCCGATATCTTCAAAACTTGATAACCTCTGAAAGCAAGCACCTGGCTCGCGCTGTAGCGACGTTGTGTTTTGCACACGTCTCGAATCCCACTGAACGGTAAACGCCAGTGCTGCCACAGGGAGCCATTTCCGTGACCAAAAATCGACATTTGTTGATGTTGAACCTTCTTCAGCCGGGCTATTATTAGTGTGTGTTCTCAACTTGGATAACGTCTCGAGCTAGCAGTCTAAGGGTGGACATTTAGAGAAAACATTCGAAAATGAGTAAAAAGTGTGCTAAATGTCAGAAGATCGTCTATCCCACAGAGGAGTTAAAGTGCCTGGATAAGGTGAGTGAATGTTGGTAATGTACATATAGTGTACTATTGGAATGGTAGGTTTTAAACCCTCGCTACCGTGCTCGGGAGATTGTCACAGTTTTATCACTCACTCGTTGAGTTATTTGGTGTTAAACTGAATTAAATATTGCACTTAAGAGACTGGTACGCCTATCACAATGTATACATCTTTAATACCAGCATCTAGTAAATCTACAGCTTGTTGGGTCAGAAACGGCGCAAATTCTTTCTAAAAGCGATTGTTGGCTTGGCTAAAGTAGAGCCAAATTATTCTAATTTCTGCTGGAGACATGGTTGCTTGTGTTCACTTGCCAAGATTTTGAAAGAGTTGCTGTTTACTGGCAGTTTGTTTAAATTCGACACATAGCTTGCACTTGAGTACCCTTCATTGAATGGAGTATTATTTCACTGAAAGATATTTGTATTATATTATGTATTTCAGTCATAAGATATTCATACTCTGACTGATGTTAACTAGTTCTTAAAACAGTTTTAATTTGAAGTATTTTCGTGGTTATGATGGGAAAGACTGATAATAGAAGTATTGCTCGGCTTAAAAAAATATCTTGATCATGATTTGATTTCTGTAATCGTTTTTAATATATAATTAATAATATCCGATGTAACAGGGTAGAGAGAAAACCGCCATACTGTGTTACGTTCTTTCTACGCATTTTGCCGCATAGTTATATTGAACACAGGGGGGAATTAAGCCAACACTGCATGTGTGTGCGACCTGTTAGTGGTCCGACAGTCATATTTTATACCTATGTTTTATTATTCAAACGAAAGAAACATCCTGGGCAAATATTGGTAATAGAAAAGTCAGCTTCAGTGATGTTTGTCAAAACATCAGGAGTGGGTGTGGCTTCTATACCTCCGTCAATACTGGCCTAGTGTGTGCTGAAACATTCTCCTTGTATGATGTATGCTAGAATTACGGAAAGGCAGTTGGTTTTATAAGAAGTGTTCCCCGTATGGGTTCCGTGTTCCCATTATGAGGAAAACAAGAATAGACCCACTGCCTGCCCAAAATCATGTTGTAAGAGTCAACTAATTGGGCGCTTCCTTCAAAGTCAGAGTTAAGTACATCTGCCTGAGAGGCAAGGAACCAACGGTCTGCATGTATATGAGTCAGACCTGTGAAACGGATGTGCATGCAACACTCAGTTTCTGGAATAGGCGTAGAGTCCAGAAGTAGACGAGGAACCATAACTTTCCGCCTGAGTTTACAGCCAGTGATTGCGGAGAAGAGAAGAAAACTAGCCTAGTTTGTGCTGAAATATTCTCCTTATAATCCTATTTGCTAAAATTATGGAAAGATAGTTGGTTTTATAAGAAATATCTCAGGTGCAGATTGCTAGGAACTTTTATGACAGCTTTAAAGTACCTTTCAGTACTTTCATCCAAGGAGAAAGTGGTACCAACTTCTTTTTTTTTTTTTTTCAGCATTCTGAGCCCTTAAGGTTCATTGCGGCAGATATCACCCACCTCTGCTCATCTTTCTGGTTGGCCTTCTCCCATCGAATATTATTAATTATATATGAAATAAATGGTGCCACCTTCAGTCAAAGAAAATGTATTGTAATTCTGTCTTTTACCCCAAAAGTTTGAGTTCAACCCAAATAATTTGGTTTCACTTTTCATCCAAGAACATAACATTGTTGTATAGGTATCCAAACTGTATGAGGCTCTTGACCAGTTCCCACACAACTACCTTTTCTTACCCAAACTATGAACACATCCATTTTATGACTTGTGACCTTTTGATTTCTGCTGTACATATATTGCATGATGCTACTTTCTTTGTTTTTAGTGCCCACTAAAGTTGCTGATAACGTCTAATATTAGCATAGTATACTATCATTGACTACTGGTTTTTGGTATTGTAATGTCATAATTTGTCCATTAATTTCATAATTTCTTTGACACCTAGAATGATGTCAGAGGAACTGAAGAAGAAGGATGTTATAATGTTATGAAGTTGCTGGATGGCTCCATTGCGGAGTAAAAGTAGAGATCCCTTTTCACACCTTTAGGCGCATCTGGCATATATGGGAAGAGCACGCATATTTTTACAGACCAATTGCCACTTGGTGGGTAATGTGGTCAGCATTACGCCGGCCGTCTTTACTTCCCCAGGACATCCATTCTGGTACCCATTTTAGGCCCATACCGTGATAAAAATCCACGCAGCCACCAGTAGGTTTCGATTGTGGAATGTTGGAATTATGAGTCGAACTCGCAACGCCTAAGCCATTGCAAAGTGGTAAAGTCATTTTCCTCATGCTCGGGGTTTCATTTTAAACTCCATTTTTCCATGTGGGTTCCAGGGCCCCTATAGGAAAAACAATTTTGGGTTGAGGAAAATACACGTATAGACCCACGCTTACCTAACAAGCATGTCATAGAAGGCAGCTTATTAGGGAGTTTTCATTGTAGTCTAAATGCATCTTGCTGATGGGCGAGAAACCAACAGTATGCATACAGATAAGCCAGATCTCTAAGAAAGTTGTGCACACAAAACTCAGATTTCTGGAGCAAGGTGAAAGTCCAGAAGTGGACGAACAGTCAGAACTTTCCACCAGAGTTTAGAGATGGTGAACACAAATAAGAAGAAGAAACTAATCACAGTGTCAAGTACATGGTGTGGATAAAAAAAAATATATTCTATGAAATGATACCAGATACAGGTGTCAAGTACATGTTGTCGATAAACACAATTATAACATCTGAAATGATACCAGACACAATTATCTGGTACATGGTGTGGATAAACAAAAATGTATTCTATGAAATGATACTAGATACTGGTGATAATTATGTGGTGTAGATAAATAAAAATATATCATCTGAAAAATTGTCAGTCACAAGTATCTGATACATGGTATGGATAAACACAAATATTTTATCTGAAATGATACCAAACATGGGTATCTGATACATGGTGTGGATAAACTATAATATACTTTCCGTAGTGACAGTACACATTGTTTTTTTTTTTTAAGGACTGACAGCATAGCATTCAGGACATTCCATAAATGCCTTGTCCCTATTTTCAGCAGCCAGCACAGTTTCAATTCTGGTGGTGCCATTAGCCGTCTGTATGTCCGCC